TGAAAAGCAGATAAATGCCATTAAATGGTTAAGATTAAAAAACAAAATCATCACTACCTTATGGCTTAATAAAGGCATACATAATCTTTTGTAATATATGATTTTAAAATTACTTGATACCACAGCACCCTATTCCCATGTAAGAAGTTCTAAAACCTGACACCAATTCAAAGGGCCTAAATGAAAATGTATTAAATATATGACTTTAAAAAGTACACAAAAGGAGAACGCAATGATTTCTTGTACTATTTATTGTCTTTCTTTAACATGGTCCCACTCTGGCATATTTCTTCTTGGATTCTTTCTAAATCGAGGTGGAAAGAAAGGTTATCCTCATCCATTCAGTTTGTGAAAATGTGTGTTATATGACTGTTAAATCAATGGCATAATATAGTCTACCCTTTAGAAAATGCTATTTTATATCTTTTAGAAAATTTAAGTGCATTGCTTTTACCATACCAAAAGCAGAAATAGTCCTCAACTGTTTTTCTAAGTTTTGTCATTTCTATAGCATCTGCGTTTATCTGATTCACTTGGGTTGTAGACTTTATGCATCTCTGCAACCTTTTCTTCATCAACACCTCTAGAAATAATAAAAAGGTACATATCCATTTTCTACTATCTTAATATTTATTTGGCTTTAAAAATGGTTTTTCCTATATTCCAATATTTGTGATGTGCATTTAAACAAAAAATATGTCAAATGAGGTGGCTCATACTTGTAATCCCACCACTTTGGGAGGCTGAGGCAGAATTGCTTGAGCCCAGGATTTCAAGATTAGCTTGAGCAACATAGGAAGAAACGATCCCGAAGATCCAAGACGGCTGATCACTAGCAGCTCGGGATTGTAGCTCCCAGTGAAAACGCAAAGAAGGAGAGGACGCCATACCTTCACATGAATTCTTGTTGCTCACGCACCAGGAGATTCCCAGCGGAGGAGCCCCACGGGTCGCCAGCACGACTCTTGTGACCGGCGAGGCGGTTTTGTCGGCGCCTCAGAGCGTCAGTTCTTGGTGCAGAGTCAGAAAAGCACCATCAATCTTAATGCCGCTGATTGAGTCGGTGCAGTGGGTTGCTCAGATTTCGGCGCTGAGAATCAATAAGTTGGACGTCCACTCGGAAACCCAATTACAAAGATGGTAATTATAAAGACCACAGATGGATAAATCTACAACGAAGGGAAGAAAACAGTCAAAAAAGGCTGAGAATACCCAAGATCAAAACGCCTCTTCCTCAGCAGGGGATCACAGTTCCTCATCAGCAACGGAACAAGGCTTGATGGAGAATGAGTGTGTTCCAATTACAGAAGCAGGCTTCAAAATGTGGATAATGAGAAACTTCTGTGAATTAAAAGAACTTGTTTTAAACCAATCTAAAGAAACTAAGAACTTTGAAAAAATATTTGACGAAATGTTAACAAGAATACACAATTTAGAGAGGAATATAAGTGAATTGATGGAGCTGAAAAACACAATACAAGAACTACGTGAAGTATGCACAAGTTTTAACAGCCAAATTGATCAAGCAGAAGAAAGGATATCAGAGGTCGAAGACCAACTCATTGAAATAAAACTAGAAGACAAGATTAGAGAAAAAAGGATAAAAAGGAACGAGCAAAGTCTCCAAGAAATATGGGACTATGTGAAAAGACCTAATCTACGCTTGATAGGTGTACCTGAATGTGACGAAGAGAATGAATCCAAGCTGGAAAATATGCTTCAGGATATTATTCAGGAAAATTTCCCCAACTTAGTAAGGCAGGATAATATTCAACTCCAGGTAATACAGAGAACACCACAAAGATATTCCTCAAGAAGAGCAACTCCAAGGCACATAATCGTCAGATTCACCCGGGTTGAAATGAAGGAGAAAATACTAAGGGCAGCCAGAGAGAAAGGTCAGGTTACCCACAAAGGGAAGCCTATCAGACTTACAGCAGATCTCTCAGCAGAAACCCTACAAGCCAGAAGAGAGTGGGGACCAATATTCAACATCCTTAAAGAAAAGAACTTTCAACCAAGAATTTCACATCCAGCCAAACTAAGCTTCATAAGTGAAGGAAAAATAAAGTTTTTTGTGAACAAGCAAGCACTCAGAGAATTCATCACCACCAGGCCTGCTTTACAAGAGCTTCTGAAAGAACCACTACACATAGAAAGGAACAAACAGTATCAGCCTTTCTAAAAAATACCAAAAAGTAAAGAACATCAATATAATGAAGAATTTACATCAACTAATAGGCAAAATAGCCAGCTAATATTAAATGGCAGTATTAAACTCACATATATCATTATTAATTCTAAATTTAAATTGACTAAATTCCCCAATTCAAAGACAGACAGGCAATTTGGACAAAAAACTAAAACTGTATGCTGCATCCAGACCCATCTCACATTCAAGGATACACAAAGACTCAAAACAAGGGATGGAGAGAGACTTACCAACCAACCAGAGAGCAAAAATAAATAAATAAAAAGCAGAAGTTACAATTTTTGCCTCTGATAAAACAGTATTTAAAGCAACAAAGATCAAAAGAAGCAAAGAAGGACATTATATAATGATAAAAGAATCAATGCAACAACAAGAAGAGTTAAAGGTCCTAAATATATACGCACCCAATACAGGAATAGCCAGACATACAAGACTTATAAAGAGACTTAGACTCCCACACAATAATAGTGGGAGACTTCAACATTAATATTAGACAGATCAATGAGACAGGAAATTAACAACGATGTCCAGGACTTGAACTCAGATCTGGAACAAGTGGACGTAATTAACATTTATAGAGCTCTCCACTTTACACAAAATATACACTCTTATCAGTACCACATCATATCAACTTAGAAGTTTAAACGAAATGTTGGTTGGCTCCTTGTTTGTTACTCTCTTCCCTCATTTTCTTTCATGTCTCCATTATCAAGGACAATTATAGGCATACCCATATTTAGACTGCATTCTAGCCCGGGCAACAAAGCAATACCCCCATTCTCTCTCCCTCTTCCTCTTTCTCTCTCTTCCTCTTCTTTATTCTTTTTCTCTTTCTAAAAAAAAAAAAAAAAAAAAAAAAAAAAAAAAAAAAAAAAAGGAAGAAACAAACGATCCCTACAAAAAAGGTAAATACAATTAGGTGTGGTAGTGTGCATCTGTAGTCCTAGCTACTCAGGAGGCTGAAGCAAGAGGATTGCTTGAGTCCAGGAGTTTAAGGTTACAATGAATTATAATGGCACCACTACACTCCATTCAGCCTAGGTCACAGAAAGAGACCTTGTCTCTTAAAAATATTTTTTTAAAAAGCAGAGGCAAGATTTTAAAAATAACTTTTAAAATAAAAACCTAAAATAAGAGTAATTTATTGGCTACAAATTTAAATATGGGAAGACTATCATCAGAAAACAAATTCTAGGCTTACAAAGTCTAGCACAATAACCCCTCGACACATGCGACACTTGAAATGTGGCCAGTCCAAATTCAGATGTTCTGTAAGTGTACAACACACATTGACTTTTGAAAACTTAGTACGGGAAAGGTATTCTAAATATCCCATTAATAATTTCTATATTGATTACATGTTAAAATATTTTACATATATTGAGTTAAAGTATTGCCACTAAAATGATTTTCACTTGTTTCTCTGTGTTTTTCTTTTTTCTTTTTTTTTTACACTAGTAACCATTTATTTTAATATGAGCCTAAATAAAACACAAACAGGAAAATAAGCCTACACAAACATGATAAAATATATTCCAAGTAAAATGTTTGGAACATTTAGCATTTTGGGATAATATGATGGAATGGAAGGTAGGTCTTTATAGTGAATGTTCTATTTTGATAGGAAAACTATAACTTAACATTCTACTAGAGAGCTATAGATATTTAAGGATAATCTAGTCTATTGTAAAGGTCTTCAGACCATACACTCTAGTCAGAAAGAACTTTATAATGTATTTTTCTCAAGTTATGTCAATTTTAAAACCATATATTTAAGCCATTATATGTATCAGATCATTTATTGTTCACTTGTAAAACTAATTTTATAAACATATAAATTGTAAATTTCTATTACAGTTAATGTTTCATCACTACTGTGAAAGGGCATCCTTAAAAATCAATAGTAAGTCCTATTGGTTTAAGTCTTTTTTGATGATTCTTCTCAAACCAGTAAAGTTTTGACATTAGCCATGATTATTTTATCACTTTCTATGTGTGTTTTAGAAAAAAATAGTGAACATATCCACTCCACTCCATTCTTCAGGATAAAAGTAGCTTTTCCAAGTACAACAGATCAACTAACTTGATCATCATTTTTAGGCAATGATTGAACTTTTTATTTCACAGAGCATAATCCATCATTTTTTAAATTTGGCTCCTTAGATTATAAAGCTAAAGATGCTGATTCTCATGTAAAATTTTTTTTTTTTTTTTTTTTTTTTTTTGAGACGGAGTTTTTGCTCTTGTTACCCAGGCTGGAGTGCAATGGCGCGATCTCGGCTCACCGCAACCTCCGCCTCCTGGGTTCAGGCAATTCTCCTGCCTCAGCCTCCTGAGTAGCTGGGATTACAGGCACGCGCCACCATGCCCAGCTCATTTTTTGTATTTTTAGTAGAGACGGGGTTTCACCATGTTGACCAGGATGGTCTCGATCTCTCGACCTTGTGATCCACCCGCCTCGGCCTCCCAAAGTGCTGGGATTACAGGCTTGAGCCACCGTGCCCGGCCTCTCATGTAAAATTTTTTAAAGTTGTTACTGTTTTATTTTTTATTCTAAGGAACATCAAACTAACTATATTTATAATCATTGTCAAAGTTTTCAAATGTCATTCATTTCCATGATTCTAAATCCACTTGGGATTCTAGGATAAAACCCGTGAATGCTCATTACATACTGAAGATTAGAAAAAAAATCTACTAAGTTTACTAAACTGCAATTAGGATTTGGACCGAAATGCTTTCCTATACGTTCTATAGATGTAGGTAGTTTATTAACTATATTATTCTCTAAATATGTATTATGTATTTAATTTGATTTAATCACATTCCATAGGTTGAATTTGGGGGTTGTTTTAAAAAGTGTTGAGAGTTTAGTGTTTATTTTTGTAATCCAACAACTTTATCCAAAAATGCAGAAAATTTTTCTGGCTGGCCAGGAGGATAACATTTCAGTGTTGATAAGTCCATTGACTGTAACAGCCCAGGAAGCGTGCTGCAGGTACAATACAAGAGATGACCCTCTTTGTGTAGCTGTTTTGCCAGTTCCAGCTGATGATTGTTCATCAGCTTTTCGTTTATAACCACCACGAGTGGCTTGCCTTTTTCCAGAGTCTCCAAACAGCTTCCTGCACCTGCGTGACTAATAACGAGATCTGCTTTCTGAATATCTTCTTTCAAGGAATCCTTGTACCTGTAAACATCCAGGGTAAACGACTCAGTACTGAAGGGTTCAGGTACCACCGTTCCTCTACCAATTTGCAGGATAAGTCGGCTGTAACCAAGGCTCTCGATTTTTTGCAGACTGTCGGGCGCTGACACACACGCAATGAGGTCGTCAAAGCTGGTGGTCCCTACGGTAACAAACACGCACTTCATCGCGTGGGTTCTGCGACCCTGGATCGCAAGGGCCGGATCGTATTTTTCTTTAATGTTGTAACTACAAGATTTTAAATCAGTGAATGGTTCGCATTATATTGTGTTCTATTCAATAGCACTTCTCTAAATTCCAGAAAAAAAAGCTTGAATTCTCCTGAAGAATTTCTGCAACTTCCTCATGAACCAATGATGTTTCAGAAGAACACTACTGCAAACAAATAAGAGATACTTGAGAATTAGGTACAAAAACCATCCTTCATGGTATCAAATTATTAGCAATGTAAAAAAAGTACAAATACCAATTGGCAGAGACTACAATTCACACCTGAGGAAAACTCCCTAATACTTAGGGAGAACCAGGTAAGCCAGGTAGCACAGAAAGGGGAGAATAAACATAGCTGCTAGCGGGATTGTGGTATTTGAGGGTCAGAGGGCAGATGATACACACACAATCAAGACAGCATTCTTACTATAAAGAAACATACACTCATAATCATGGCTTAACATTTCTCAAAATTTTAATACTGGCAAAAATTAAAAAAAAAAATAGGTTACTGCCATAAAGCTTGGAAGATTATAACATAGGGGGTTGGGGAAGGAATACAGTGGCAGAGGATAATAAAAATACTAGTGAATTGAAATTAGTGAATAAGCAGCCGGGCGCTGTAGATCATGCCTATAATCCCAGCATTTTGGGAGGCCAAGGCAGACAGATCTTCTGAGGTCAGGAGTTCGAGACCAGCCTGGCCAACATGGTGCAACCCCATCTCTACTAAAAATACAACAATTAGTCAGACGTGGCGGTGCATGCCTGTAATCCCAGCTACTCAAGAGGCTGAGGCAGGAGAATTGATTAAAACTGGGAAGCAGAGGTTGCAGTGAGCTGAGATGGCACCATTTCACTTCAGCCTGAGTGAGACACCATCAAAAATAGAAAGAAAGAAAGGAAAGAAAGAAAGAGAAAGGAAGAAAGAGAAAGGAAGAAAGAGAAAGAAAAAAAAGAAGGAAGAAAATAAAGAAAGAAAAGAAAGACTTTATTAGCAAAGCTTTTAATTCACTAGTAATCTGCTCAGTTTATCATGAATTGAATCTAATCTGACAACAGAAAATTAAAGTTGAATCTTTTATGAAAGATCTCTCAGTGGTATGACGCTATTGGATAGCATTTTACACACAGTGGAACTTCCTTTCAAATTGGAGTCAATCCTCTGAAAGCCTGCCATTGTTTTATGAAGTAAGCTTACAGAATATTCTAAATCTTTTGTTGTCATTTCAACAATATTCAGGGTGGGCCTGGCATGGTGGCTCACGCCTGTAATCTAAGCACTTTGGAGGCCAGGCGGGCGGATCACCTGAGGTCAGGAGTTCAAGACCAGCCTGACCAACATGGTGAAACCCCATCTTTAAAAAACAAAAAATAATAATAATAAAAATATTCATGGCATCTTCAGCAGGAGTAGATTCCATTTCAGAGACCCCTTTCTTTGCTCATTTTAAGAATCAACTCCTTATCTGCTCATATTTGATCATCAAATTGCAGCCGTTCAGTCCCATCTGCAGGCTCCACTTCCAATTCTAGTTCACTTGCTATTTCCGCCACATCTGTAGTTCCTTCCTCCACTGAAATCTTGAACCCCTTAAAGTTATCCATGAAGGATGGAATCAACTTCTTCCACAGTCCTGTTAGTGACATTTTGTTCTCTTCCCATGAATCACAAATGTTCTTAATGGCACTTAAGACAGTCAATACTTTCCAGAAGATTTTTAATTTACTTTGCCTAGATCCATCAGAGGAATCACCATCTGTGGCAGCTACGATCTTACAAAATGTATTTGTTAAAGAATCAAACTTGAAGGTTGAGTGGCTTCACACCTGTAATTCCAAGCACTGAAGAAGGCCAAAGTGGTCAGATTGCTCAAGCCCAGAAGTTTGAGACCAGCCTAGGCAACATGACACAAAATATCTTTTTTTTTTTTGAGACAGAGTTTCGCTCTTGTTACCCAGGCTGGAGTGCAATGGCACGATCTTGGCTCACTGCAACCTCCGCCTCCTGGGTTCAGGCAATTCTTCTGCCTCAGCCTCCTGAGTAGCTGGGATTACAGGCACGCACCACCATGCCCAGCTAATTTTTGTATTTCAGTAGAGACGGGGTTTCACTATGTTGACCAGGATGACCTTGATCTCTTGACCTTGTGATCCACCCGCCTCGGCCTTCCAAAGTGCTGGGATTACAGGCTTGAGCCATCGCGCCCGGCCGACAACAAAGTATCTTTACAAAAATGAGTCAGGCATGCTGGTGTACCACCTGTGGTCCCAGCTATTCAGCAGGCTGAAGTGGGAGGACCACTTAAGCCTAAGGAGATTGAGACTGCAGTGAGCTGTGATCATGCCACTGCACTCCAGCCTGCTGGAGTGACAGTGAAATGACCTTCTCAAAAAAGAGAAAAGCAATAATAATCCTAAAGACTTGAAAGTTGAAATTACTTCTAGATGCACAGGCTGCAGAATGGATGTTGTATTAACAGGCATGAAAATAACATTCATCTCCTAGCATACCTTCATCAGGGCTCTCAGAGTGACTGGGTGCAGTGTCCATGAGCAGTAATATTTTGAAAGGAGCTGTTTTTCTTGGCAATAGGTCTCAAAAGTAGACTTAAAATAGTCAGTGAACAATGCTATAAAGAGATGTGCTGTCATCCGGGCTTTACTGTTCCATTGATAGAGCACATGCAGAGCAGATTTAGCATAGCTCTTAAGGGCCCTAGAATTTCTGGAATGGTAAATGAGCATTGGCTTCAGTTGAAGTCACCAGTTGCGTTAGCCCCTAAAAAGAGTCCCAGCCTGTCCTTTCAAGTTGTGAAGCCAGCAATGGAATTCTCCTTAGCTAGCGAAGTCCTAGATGGCATCTTGCAATATAAGGCTGTTTTGTCTACATTAAAAATCTGTTTTTATTTAGTGTGGCATCTTCATAAATTATTTCAGCAAGATCTTCTAGAGAACTCGCACTTTCGACATCAAGTGCTTGCTGCTTCACCTTGCACTTTTATGTTATAGAGACTGTGTCTTCCTTGAAGCTTCATGAACCAAACTCCGCTAGCTTCCAGCTTTTCCTCTGCAGCTGACTCACCTCTCTCAGCCATCACAGAATTGAAGAGAATTAGGGCATTGTTCTGGATTAAGCTTTGACTTACAGGAATGTTGTGGCTGGTTTGATCTTCTATCCAGACCACTCAAAGTTTCTCCATATCAGCAATAAGCTTGTTTTTCTTTTTATCATTTGTGTGTTCACTAGAGCAGCACTTCTTATTTCCTTCGATAACTTTTCCTGTGCATTCACTACCTGGCAAACTGTTTAGCCTGGCTTTCAGCCTTTCTCAGCTGCCCTCATGTCTTCCTCACTAAGCTTCATCATTTTTAGCTTTTGACTTAAAATGAGCAGTCCGAAATGCTTCCTTTTACTTGAACACTTAAGAGGCCACTGGAGGGCTGTTAACTGACCTCATTTCAATAGTGTGTCTCAGGGACTAGGGAGGCCTTAGGAGAGAAAGCAATGGGAAGGCAGGTGATTGATGAAGCAATCAGAGCACACATTACCAACTTAGTTTGCCATCATAAGATGAATGGGTGCATTCATGGAGTCTGAATACAATTACAACAGTAACATCAAAGCTAACTGATCTCAGGTCACCACAGCACATATAATAATCATGGAAAAGATCAAAATACTGTAAGAGTTACCAAATGTGACACAGAGAACCAAAGTGAGCACATACTGTTGAAAAAAATGACACAACAGACTTGCTTGACACAAGGTTCCCACAAATCTTCAATTTGTAAAAACTGCAGGATCTCCATGGCTCAAAACAATGAGATATGCCAGTATGTATTCTGTGCCCATAGACACATTATCTTTTTTGTTCCCTTTCCATGTTTTTAAAAAAATGCTGTATCACTCAGTTAACATGAAACCTATTGATAGTGTCAGGTTACACACAGATATAAAAATTGTCATACTGTGAAAGGCTGTAAGTATTAACACCCAATAGTAAATTTTAATACTGTGTTCCAATGTCAAAAAAGCTCACCACTGCTCTAAGTGAGGATTACAAAACCCACTGAAGATTATTCCACTGACCGAGTTGAAGGGAACTGTTTAATTCTGCATCATGCTTAAACAAACACATTTGCACAGTGAATTTGTTTTCAAAACACCAAACATTTATCTAGAACTCCTAATCTGAGTAAGAACTTTTAATTTATTCAAAATTTCTCCACTTTCATGACCTTCTACCTAATGTGTCTCATTAATCCAGAGTGAAGTCAAGCCAGGATCCCTGTAACAATAAACACTTGCCATTTTCCTCAACTCTTCAATATTTACCCTGACATATTGCCACTTTGATGACTCCTTTTGAGCATTTTGAAATGTCTCCATAAACAGTTCTGAAAATTGTTTATATTCTAGGCTGGGCACAATGGCTCACACCTGTAATCTCAGCACTTTTGGAGGCCGAAGTGGGTGGATCTTTTGAGGTCAGGAGTTCGAGACCAGCCTAACCAACATAGTGAAACTCCATCTGTACTAAAATTACAAAAAAAAAAAAAAAATAGCTGGGCATGGTGGCATGCACCTGTAATCCTGGCTACTCAGGAAGCTGAGGCAGGGGAATCACTTGAACTCAGGAAGCAGAGGTTGCAGTGAGCCAAGACCACGTCACGACACTCCAGTCTAGGCAACAGAGTGAGACTTTGTCTGAAAAAAAAAAAAACAAAACTTTTATATTTTAAACCTCATTTTGCTTTAGAAGAAAATATGACTAGTCTTATCTATATTTAGGTTGAAAATTAATGAAATAAAATAATGAAAATGCAATGCTTACAGTATTTTACAAAATCCATTTAAAAATCCTTTCTGGCATTGAAAGAATTGTGTCCTCTGTCCTTCAGTTCTGAAGGCAAACAGATCTATTTTATACTCTGTGATGCAATCCACTTTGGCCTTAAACTTGGCCAGTGCTTTAAACTACAATA